CCCCCCCCCCCCCCCCCCTGCCACTCTGCATTCTGAAAGGGACAAAGCAGCAGCAGCCAGTCCTGCAGGTCTCTCTCAACATAACCCCCCTTTGCTGCCATCACCACCCTCCCCCCGCCCCCTGTTGCCACTTGGTACTTTTAAAGGGACATAACAGCTGAGACCCATGGGACTGGCTGCTGCTGCTGCTCTGTCCCTTTAAAAATGTAGAGTGGCAATGAAGAGTTGGGGGGACTTATGCTGAGAAAGACCCACGGGACTGGTTACTGTTCAGTCCCTTTCAGAATGCAGAGTGGCAGGAGTCAGGGAGGAGGGGTTGTCCTGAGACCCGGCGGGGGACCAGAATTTGAGCCAACATCTTTGTGCACCAGCTCCTCTCTGTCCCTTTAAGAGTGCAGAGCAGTGGCAGGGGGCTGATCAAGTAGATAACAGTGCTACCCAATAAGCCCCTGCTTATCGGGTACTTGACTACTCATTCACTTCCCTAATATATCCAATATTGTTAGGGTGTAACTGCTATTTATTTCCACATACCTACAATGACTGTGTTAGTATAGTCATTTAGTTACAGTACAGTTTGTAGCTACTATAATAAAGAAACTGCCAGCCAAATAATTTGGGTTTATTATAAAAATATTCTTTTCAATTTTCCTCTCTCAACCTACATTAGAGTAATTATTATTCATTGTTTCAGGATAAACACATCTCCACTAGACAAAAGTATTTTTTTCTCCTAAAATAATCTTGCCCAGCTGGCACGTGGCTTTCACATATTAATGTTAGGTAAAAATAACAGAGGCAGGACGTCTTTTGTGTATTATGGTATGGCACAGTCTGGGTTCATGCGAGGTACATTTTTTCTCTTCTGTACTACACTGATCTGTGTTAATGGATTAGATGTATCTCCACCCAAATGGGCTATTGAAGAGTTTGTACAGCATCATAATTAGGAGAGGCTTTCCTATTTCCACTACCCATTGTGTTAAATCAAATTAATAGAATCAGAAATGTAGGACTCGATGGATCCCCAAGAGATCATTAAATTCAGCTCTCTGCACTAAGGCAGGTCTCAAGTGCCATCACTGATAGGTTTTTCTCTAACCTATTCTTAAAAACCTCTGATGAACAAGATTCCACAGTCACCCTCGGTAATTTGTTCTAGTGCTTAACTACCATGACAGGAAGTTTTTCCTAATGTCCAACAAATCTCAGAGTGGTTAATGAACAATTCATCACTACCCTCTTTATAACAAACTTTTATATACTTTAAAACAGTTGTCACCAATCAGTCTCTCTTCTCCAGACTAAACAAACCATTTTTTTTCTAGCTTTCCTTATAGGTCATATTATCTGGACCTTTAAAATTTTTTGTTGCTCTTCTCTGGATTTTATCCAATATGCCCGCCTCTTTACTGAAGTAAAGTGCCCAGAACTAGTCACAATCAATACTCCACTTGAGGCTTTTCAGTGCCAAGTAAAGCAGAAGAATTACTTGTCACGTCTTGCTTACAATGCTCCTGCTAATATATCCCAGGATTATATTCACTTTCTTTGCAATAGTATTACATTGTTCACTCATATTTAGGTTGTGATCCACTATAAACACAAAATCCTTGACTCTCTTAAAAATACTACTGCAGTAATTTCCTTTTTTGTGTGTGTTTGTACAATTGATTATACCTTCCTAAGCGTAATACTTTGCATGTATCCCATTGAATTTCATCCTTTTCATTTCAGACTATTTGTCAAGATAATTTTGAATACTAATTCTGTTCCCTAAAGCACTTGAAAAACCTCACAAACTTTGTAACTATACTCTAATTCTTTATCCAAATCATTTCTAGATATCCCCTGGGATGTTAGAATCCCCTGGGATGTTAACATGAAGGGGAAAGGAGTCCAGGACAGCTGGCAGTATTTTAAAGAAGCCTTATTGAAGGCACAGAAAGAAACCATCCCGACGCGTAGCAAGAGAGGCAAACATTACAAAGAGTGGAAACTTGGCCAAATGACCAGGGAGGAGTTTAAAGGTATAGCTCGAGAATGCCGGGGGGTTATCAGGAAGGCGAAAGCACAAATGGAATTGCAACTGGCTAAAGATGTGAAGGATAACAAGAAAGGTTTCTACAGGCATGTTAACAAGAAGAAGGTGATCAGAGAGGGTGTGCGGCCCCTAATGGATGAAGGAGGTAACCTAGTGACAGATGATGTGGGGAAAGCTGAAGTACTCAATGCTTTCTTTGCCTCTGTATTCACGGACAAGGTCGGCTCCTGGACTTCTGCGCCAAGTGACGCAAGATGGGACGAAGATGGACAGCCCGTGGTGGGTAAAGAACAGGTTAGGAACTATTTAGAAAAGCTAAACGTACATAAATCCATGGGTCTGGACTTAGTGCATCCGAGGGTACTGAGGGAATTGGCAAATGTCATTGTGGAGCCTTTGGCTATTATCTTTGAAAAGTCGTGGAGATCGGGAGAAATCCCGGATGACTGGAAAAAGGCAAATGTAGTGCCCATCTTCAAAAAAGGGAAGAAGGATGATCCAGGGAACTATAGGCCAGTCAGTCTTACCTCGGTTCCTGGAAAAATCATGGAAGGGATCCTAAAGGAATCCATTTTGAGACACTTGAATGAGAGGAAAGTGATCAGGAATAGTCAGCATGGATTCACAAAGGGCAAGTCATGCCTGACCAATCTGATTAGCTTCTATGATGAGGTAACTGGCTCAGTGGACATGGGAAAGTCAGTGGATGTTATATACCTTGACTTTAGCAAGGCTTTTGATACGGCCTCCCACAATATTCTTGCCAGCAAGTTAAGGGAATGTGGATTGGATAAATTGGACGGTAAGATGGATAGAAAGATGACTAGATGGCCGGGCCCAGTGGGTAGTGATCAATGGCTCGATGTCAGGATGCTTTTAAATGTGGCCGCACTGTTCGGAAGCGCAGATTGTGCGTTCATAACTCGGGGACAGCATGTAATGGGCTTAATGGGAGGTTAGTCGTAAGTACAAACGGTCGTAAGTCGACGCGTTCGTAACTCGGTGACCGGCTGTATTCTCTCTGGCCTGATCTACACTGCAGGTATTTGTTGTCACAGAGTATGCTAATGAAGCGCTCATGAGAATTTGTCATGCTGTCATTTGCATATCCCTGCCGATGATTTTTGCACAAAAACAAGCAGTATAGACGGGTCTGTTTTGTGCAAAAAATAAACAAAAACCTTTTGTGCAAGATCCCTTATGCCTCAGAAAAGGAAGTATGCAGGATCTTGCGCAAAAAGGGGGGGTTGCGCAAAATGGACCCATCTACACTGCTTGTTTTGTGCAAAAACCTCTTGTGCAAAAAGCATGGGCAGGGATATGCAAATGACAGCATGACAAATGGGGTCCAGC